GAGAAATGGTGGTGGTGGATATCCTTGTTTTGTTTTCAGTTTTATGGAGAGATTTTCAAAGTTTTACTAGTGACTATAATATTAGCATAGTTCTTTTGAAGGCATCTTTTATCAGATTAGGAAAATTTCTTTCTGGGGAGGTCTGAGTGGATCAGTCAGTTAAGCATTTGACTCTTTTTTCTTTAATATTTTATTTATTTATTCCTGAGAGACACAGGCTGAGAGAGGCAGAGACATAGGCAGAGGGAGAAGCAGACTCCTCCCAGGGAGCCCAATACAGGACTGGATCCTGGATTCTGGGATTACGACCTGAGCCGAAGGCAGGTGCCTAACCGCTGAGCCACCCAGGCGTCCCAAGCATCTGATTCTTTTTTTTTTTTTTAATTTTTTTTTTTTTTTATGACAGTCACAGAGAGAGAGAGAGAGGCAGAGACATAGGCAGAGGGAGAAGCAGGCTCCATGCACCGGGAGCCTGACGTGGGATTCGATCCCGGGTTTCCAGGATCGCGCCCTGGGCCAAAGACCGGCGCTAAACCACTGCGCCACCCAGGGATCCCCCAAGCATCTGATTCTTTTTTTTTTTTTAATTTTTTTTTAAATTTATTTATTTATGATAGTCACAGAGAGAGAGAGAGAGAGAGGCAGAGACACAGGCAGAGGGAGAAGCAGGCTCCATGCACCGGGAGCCCGATATGGGATTCGATCCCGGGTCTCCAGGATCGCGCCCTGAGCCAAAGGCAGGCGCCAAACCGCTGCGCCACCCAGGGATCCCTAAGCATCTGATTCTTGATCTCAGTTCAGGTCCTGACCTCAGGTCTTGACCTCCGGGCCCAGCATGGAGCACACTTAAAAAAAATTTCCCTCTATTCCTTGTTTTCTAAAGTGTTTTTATTATGAATGGGTATTGAATTTTATCAAATACCTTTTGGGCATTTATTATAATGATTGTATAGTTTTTTTCCTTTATTTTGCTGATGTGGTGAATTACATTGATTTTTTTTCAAATAGCAAACCAACTTTGTGTTCCTGGAATAAATCCCACTTGGTTATGATGCATTATATTTTTTAAAATTTATCTCTAGATTTTATTTGTTAATATTTCATTTTTTAATTTTTGTGTCTATATGAGATATTATTGGACCATAATTTTATTTTCCTACAATGTGCCTGTCAGATTTTGTTATCAAGGTTATGCTGGCTTTTTAAATTTCATTCCTTGTAAATTTGTTGAGTTTTACTTTATAGCCCAGAACATAGTCAATGCCGATAAATGTGCTAGGTATACTTGAAAACAATGTGTGCTCTGCGTTTGTCAAAGGTATTTTTGGTTAATTGCATTAATTGGATTGGTTCAGATCTTTTGTATTCTTACTGATTTTTATATGTTTTGTTAGTTAGGAAGGTACGATTAGATTTATACATGCTATTATTTAAACCAACCATTATTGTGAATGGGCTGTTTCTCCTTTTATTTCTGTCAGTTTTTGCTTTATATATTTTGAAGCTATACTATTAAGTGAATATAATTTATGATTTTTATGGCTTTGAATTACGTTGACCATTTTGTCAAAATGAGATGTCCCTCTTTATCTTTTATAATAATTTTTGCCTTAATGTTGTCTGTTATTAATGTTGCCACATCAGCTTTCTTTTCATTAGTGTTTTCATGGTGCATCTTTTCCTATCCTTTTATTTTTAACCTTCCTGGATCTTTATATTTAAAGTGTTTTCTTTCAAACAGTATATAGTTGTATCTTATTTTTAACCTTCCTCGATCTTTATATTTAAACTGTTTTCTTTCAAATCTTTTTTTTTCCTTTTTTTTCTTTTTATTTACGATAGTCATAGAGAGAGAGAGAGAGGCAGAGACACAGGCAGAGGGAGAAGCAGGCTCCATGCACCGGGAGCCTGACGTGGGATTCGATCCTGGGTCTCCAGGATCGAGCCCCGGGCCAAAGGCAGGCGCCAAACCACTGCGCCACCCAGGGATCCCTATATTTAAACTGTTTTCTTTCAAACAGTATATAGTTGTATCTTATTTTTAACCTTCGTGGATTATTATATTTAAAGTGTTTTCTTTCAAACAGTATATAGTTGTATCTTTTGTAACTTATTTTTAAAAGCAGTCTAACTATCTTTGTCTTTTGGAGTATGTATCCATTACATTTAAAGGTGATCAGTTTACCATGTTGCTTTTGTTTTCTTTCTCCATTTGTTCCTTTAAAAAAAAATTGTTTCTTTATTCCTCCTCATTGTTTTTGATATTAAGAGTATTTTTATTATTTCCTTTGTTAGTTTTTACATTATACCTCTTACTGAAAAATTGACAAAATGCATCCTAATAATAGTGTACCATAAATTAGTTATCATGTCCTGTACAATGCAAGAACTTTATAATGTTTTTACATTATTTAAACCCACCCCCCCTTTTTTTGCCATGTTTTGTATATATTTTACTTCATGTATGGTATAAAACCCACAGGCCATTGTTAATGTTGTTGAAAAGAGTAGTTTTGTTTTTACCCACATATTTACCTTTTCTGGAGCTGTTGATTCTTGCTGACTTTTTTTGTGCTTCCCTCTAGAATCATTTACCTTAAGCTGAACAACATTTCTTGTAGTATTTCTTGTCTGCCAGTGAGGAATTCTCTTAACGTTTCTTAGTTTGAGAATGTATTTTGCTTTCACTTTTTTTTTAAAGCATTTTATTTATTTATTCATGAGGGATACAGAGAGAGAGGCAGAGACATAGCAAGAGGAAGAAGCAGGCTCCCTGCAGGGATCCCGATGTAGCACTGGATCCCAGGTCCCAGGACCCTCTGAGCCAAAGGCAGACGTTTAACCACTGAGTCACCCAGACACCCCTTGCTTTTACTTTTGAACACTATTTTCAGTGGAAATAGAACTCTTGCTAGCTTTGCTTTCTTTCTGTACTTTAAAGATACCATGATATCATTCTTTTATCTTTTTTGTTGTTGTTGTTGTCGTTGTTGTTGAGAAGTCAGTAATGTTTTTCTTGTTTCTTAGAGCAATGGTTCTCAACTGAAAGTGATTTTACCTTCCCTTTACTCCTTCCCCAGAGGACATTTGGTAATGTCTGGATATGTTTTGGTTGTCTCAACCCAGGGTGGTGTATTCCTACAATGCACAGAACAATTTTTCATAGCAAAAAATTACCTGATTCAAAGTGTTAGTAGTGCCAAGGTTGAGAAACTGTGCCTTAGAGGTAACATGTCTTTTTTTTTTTTTTTCTGGTTGTGTACAAGATTTTTCTCTCTTTATTTTTTAGTGTTTGATTAGTAATACATACCTAGGTTTTATTTTCTTTGTTTTATCCTTTTTGGGATAGATTTTAATTCCCTCTAATAACACATTTTTTTATTTATTAATTTTTTAAATCTTCTTTAATATTCATCATAGCTATCTTGAAGTCCTTCTAATACTTCTCTTTGGATCACCTCTGAATCTCCTTCCATTGACTATTTTATTTTTTGATTAGTGGCTAATTTCTTGCTTCTTTGCATGTCTCATCATTTTTAAATGTGTGTGTGTTTTTTTTTATGATTTTACTTATTTACTCCTGAGAGAGAGAGAAAGAGGCATAGACACAGGCAGAGGGGGAAGCAGACCCCCATGCAGGGAGCCTGACATGGGACTTGATCCCAGGTCTCCAGGATCACACCCTGGGCTGAAGGCAGCGCTAAACCACTAAGCCACCTCTGCTGCCCTTTAAATGTGTTTTGATGAAATTTTGTAGAGGCTGTGAATTAGCTTACTTTGAAAGATATTGGATTCTGTTCTGACAGGTGGCTAAATTACCAATTTTTTGCCTTTTTTTTTTTTCAAGTAGGCTCCATGCCCAGTGTGGAGCCCAACTCACAACCCTGAGATCAAGACCTGAGCTAAAATCAAGAGTCAGGTATTTGACTGACTGAGCCACCACGCACCCCACTAGCTCTTCACTCTTCACTCTTATTCTGTTAGGGCTTTGTTTAGTTTTTTGTTGGGCTTAGTTTTTTTACATTTTGCATTTCCAGAGCATGGTCCTTTTTCCTAAGGTGTAGCCTTACAGTGGGGTTTCAACTGAATGTTTAGGGTCTTTACCAAGATCTCCAATTTGGTGGGGCTCAAACTCCCACTTTTCAGCACTGACCTTGGGAATCTCAGCTTCCCAGCATGTGCCTCTTATGAGGTTCTCTTGTGCTTTCATCTTAGGCTTTTGCAGCCCTAGAGATGATCAGGAATGGGTGAGAATTTCTATGCAGATTTTTGGGGATCTTTTACTGTGGGTACCACCTGTCCAGCACTCTGTCCCTTCAATCCTAGCCATCTTTGCCCAGAACTCTGATCTCTGTTCCCTCTGGTCTCTATTTGGACTTATTTTCGATACTTTGAGAAGACACTTCCAGGGAAAATTCTTAGGGGAACGTTGGTCACCTCATGTTTCTCTTCTCTTTCACTGACCACAGCCTTGTATTGATCATAGTCCATGCTATAAACATTTGTTTTGTATATTTTGTTCAGATTTTAAAGTTACATATGGTTGTAGAGCAAATCTCATATCAGGTATTCTCCATGGACAGATTCTGAAGTATCTCCATTTTCCTTTATAAAAGATTAACTACTGGGACACCTGGGTGGCTCAGTGGTTGAGCGTCTGCCGTGGGCTCAGGGCCTGGGGATCGAGTCCCACATCCGACTCCCTGCGAGGAATCTGCTTCTCCCTCTGCCTATGTCTCTGCCTTCTCTCTGTGTCTCTTATGAATAATTAAATAAATAATCTTTTAAAAAATAAAATAAAATAAAAGATTAACTGCTTTTTAAGTTAGATTTATTGTTTTGAAGAAATACTGATTTGGTTGTCATTATTGAGTTAAGTTCATTATGGAGTTCTGTATTTCACAGAAACAAGTGTTAAAGGGGAAAACAGCTTATGTCAGTTAACTTATTGTATATAATTTGACATCTTAGTTATCCGTTGTGTTTTTTTGTGCTTCAAGGAATCATCTGTTGCAGTTTGCCTTAGAGTCACCACCCATATCTCCTGCTCCCTCCTCTTCAAAGAACCTTGCTGGCAAAGTAAACACTCCTGTAGCCTTCAGACATTCTTTAAAGCAAGGAAGCAGGTTAATGGAGAATTTCTTGATCAGAGAAATGAGTGGTTCCACGTCAGAGTTGTTGATAAAAGAGAATGAAAAAAAATTGATCCTTCAGAAAGAAGTGAGCACTTCTTCAAAGACCAAAGAGACCCCTTCTATAGAAAAGACAGCTCCACGTTCCTTAGATGCTCATGTTCCTGAGACACCTTCTACGTCAACTTTGAAACAGGTTACCAGAGGTAGGAAATTATTTTCATATATGTATTTTCTTACTTAATGGAAATGTTTTCATCCCATATGACCTGAGAATAAATAAGAAGCTTGAGGGGGAAGGCATGGAAAAAGACAATCCAAATTTCACATCATAACAGTCTCAGAAATTGATGTAGGCAGTGCTGCAAGATATTTTTGTATTCTTTCTTTCTCATAGAATAGGAATTTAGGCTGATTGCTGGAAAAATGAGGCAGTTTTAATTAGCTCATATTTTATGGCAGTAGCTTTCTATTTTTCAGCTTTTAATTTCCCCCCACATCTTTCATATCATTTCCAGTTTAATCTTAACAAGGTCCTTTTATCTTCTACCCTTCTTTGAACACTTCTAAGCTGTTCTGACTGGCATTTATTGCTAGAGACAATTTGACCCATACGCTAGCACTCTGACCTTATTTCTTACCTCTCCCTCTCAAAAATCCTTTGCACTAACCAAACTGGTCTTCCCATTATTCCTTGAATATACCCAGAGATTGGAAAAATTACAAGCTGCAGGCCAAATTTGGCTTGACACCTAATCTTATAAGTAAAGATTCACTGGAAAATAGCCACATCCATTTGTTTACATAGTGTTAATGAATGCTTTCATCCTCCATGGTGGTTACTAGTTGCAACAGAGACTATCTGGCTTGCAGAGCCTAAAATCTCTACTACCCGGCCCTTTACTAGAAAGGTTTGCTGGGGTACCTGGTGGTTCAGTGGGTTAAGCTTCCAGCTCTTGATTTCGGCTCAAATCATGATATCGGAGTTGTGAGATTGAGCCCTGGTTTAGGGCTCTGTGCTCAGCAGGGAGCCTCTCTCACGTGCATTCCCTCTACCCTCCACCCCCACTCATGCTTCCTTGTACTCTCTCTCTCTCTTAAAAAGGTGTGCTGACCTCTGTTTTATCATTCTTTTACCTTTCTAGACTCTACCCAGATCCTAACCATTCTTTGGTTATGTTAGACAATATTGATATTTCACATCATTTAAGTGTTATACCACTTGTTTTCTGCACTATTTTGTGTATAGTTTGCTTTTTTGATGAATAGGTCAGCTTGTTTAACCAATTGTTTCCATGTCTTCTCTTGCCTCAGAGTACCTTTTAAGCAGAAACTATGTCTTAGACATCTTTGATACATCCACATCGTATAGGGCACACATAGTACAGGGCAATTAGTGGTTACTTATTTTAGTTTTTTAAAAAGATTTTATTTATCTGAGAGGAGAGAGACTGCATGTGAGAGAGTGCAAATGGTGGGGAGGGGAAAAAGAAACAAATGGTGGGGAGGGGCAGAGGGAGACAGAGAAGCAGACTCCCCTCCCCTCTGAGCAGGGAGCCTGACTATGATGTGGGGCTCGATCCCAGGACCCTGAGATCATGACCTGGGCTAAAAGCAGATCCTCAACTGACTGAGCCACCCAGGTGCCCCCCCCCATTAGTAATTATTAAACTTAGGTTGAAGACCTTTTTTTTTTTTCAAATGTAATCTTAGCATGAACCATAACACATAAAATAGATAAAATTGGCCTTATTCCATTGAAGTAGAGATGGAAGACCTGACTTCCAACCTCATCGCTGCCTTTATCATCACGGTAGCTTCTGGGCCGCAAGATTCTTCCACAACTCTCTGCAACTTCCTCATACAGTTTGAGAATGATTGTGTTTCCTAATGGCAACACTTGTAATTACAAATTAGAGCTAAATTATCAAATTTGTAACCATTGCTGATTTGAACAGTAGTGGGCCCAAACCAACAGATGCTTCAGTTTAGTTTTACATACCTTCCTGTCTCCAGCCAGGTGTATCTTCTTCAAGATGTTATGATTGCTGCAGTGCTAAATATGAATGACTCTAAGACGGGAAAACTTAAGCTCAGTGCTATAGGTTGGTTACACCTTGGTAGCAAAGACTTAACCAAAGCATTTTCTAATAAACGAATCTCCTAACTTCTTTGCAATTTCTTCTGGTAGGCACAGGATTCTAATTATGTGACTTTCCACAGTTTAGCCATTACTCAGGAAACAGTCTGTCCCAATCCTGTTGCCCCGAGGCTTTTCTAAGTGCATGTATAGGTTGGGATTCTATTTTTTATATTAATTGCTGAAAGATGACAGGTTATACATTGTTTTTGCCCTTTCTGTAAATAACAAAGTCTCCTTTTCTCTTTTTAAAAAATACAGTGGATTGTCCTGTTTGTGGGGTTAATATTCCAGAAAATCACATTAATAAGCACTTAGATAGCTGTTTAATGCGTGACGAGAAGAAGGAAAGCCTCAGAAGGTAAGAAAGTTAAGAATAACCATTGAGCTATTTTAGCAAGGTACTTCTTGTGCTTTACAAACTATTTACCACCTCTTCTGTTCTGTGTCCTTCATCCTGAGGGTTATTTCCCATAAGCCATGATAATCTGGTGACCTGCATTTCTCTTTAGAAATGTTTCGTCCTGGGAGGCTTGGCTGGCTCAATCAGTAGAGCATATGGCTCTCAATCTCAGGGTCCTGAGTTCAGACCCCACATTGGGCACAGACCCTACTTGAAAAAAAAAAAAGAGAAAAAAAGGAAATGTTTCTTCCTGAGGAATGAGTTTCAAATATAGAAGCTGAGCATTTTCCCCTTGAATAGTAAGAAATCAGCACTGATACTCTTGCTTGGACTGCTCTTTTTCTAGATGGCTCTGTCATATTTCTTCTAATATATTTAGTTCTGTCAGTATATCCAAAGACATACTCATCCATACATAATTAAGTTCAAGTTCCAATAGGTTCCTGCTCCTTAGAATACTGTAGTCCTGCCATTTTTTTCTATCTTGCAATTTAGAAGCACTCTCTCTCTCTTAGAGAAAGATTCACTATGCTGGTTAGTGTATTAAAGGCTCTGAGAAGTCCAACACCGAAGGTAATTGTTGGATTTTGTTTCATACAGTAATTACATTTATTTAACCCTAAAATCTTTTTTTTTTAAAGATTTTATTTATTTATTAGAGAGCGCACCAATGAGAGTGTGTGCATATGTAAGCGCATGAGTTGGGGGAGAGGTAGAAGCAGACTCCCCACTGAGTAGGGAGCCCACCAGAGGCTCGATCCCAGGACCCTGAGATCGTGACCTGAGCAGAAGGCAGATGCTTAACCAACTGAGCCACCCAGGCACCCCTGACCCCAAGTCTTTTTTTCCTCATAATTCACATCTTGCAAAACTAATTTTTGGAGGATTTTGGGGTCTGGTCACATAAAAGAGACTGTGACATTTAGAACATTTTATTCACAGTACCCTGACAGGCCAGTTCCTCAATGTGGGTGACAACCTTTTACCCATTCTGTGTTGAATCATATCAGAGTTGATTCAAAGAATACTCCTCCCTTTGATGTCTTCAGATTCTGAGGACTCTTTTTTTTTTTTTTTTTTAAGATTTTATCTATTTATTCATAGAGACACCCGGTGTAGGGATGGGGAAGAGAGAGAAAGAGAGAGAGAGGCAGAGGGAGAAGCAGGCCCCATGCAGGGAGCCTGATGTGGGACTCGATCTTGGGTCTCCAGGATCACATCCCAGGCTGCAGGCAACGCTAAACCGCTGCGCCACCAGGGCTGCCCGATTCTGAGGACTCTTAAATGCATTACTCACTTTCACTAAATCATGGAAGAAGGATCAGTGTTATTTTCATGTTTGGGGAATCATCTATCAAGCTTCATGTTTTAAAATTCTGGACAGAAATTGTTCATTTCTGCTAGTGCTTTTCATCATAAATGTCAGTGAACAGTTTCTCATTTGAATTTCAGTCATAAGTTTAATTGTCTATCTTTGATAGAAATAAATGTTTTAGATACAGACTTAATGAACTGTCCTTCACAGTGTGCTTGTATAAACTCCTATAAAACGTTTCAGCTCTCGCTACCCACTGTGACTTTATTTAGCTGTAATTTTACCTGTCTTGTGGAGCCCACCAGGCAATTTTCAGAAATGTAATCTTTTGAGGGTTTGCAGATCTTTCTATAGTTAAATAGTTATCTCTGGCTTTTGGGTGTTATTGATAGAGCATAAAAGAAATAATTTAGCCAAGGAATGTTACTGTTGGTTAGTAGAAAAATGTTTGGTTGTTTTCAGTCTATGTATATTCAACTGTATTATCTCTCAGTATAACCTTTGTGCAATTTATGTCAGATTTACCCTATGGAGGCATGTTAACATAGATTTTAGGTCTCTAATTTAGAACTTAATCTTTGGTAGGTGATGTGGAGACATGACAGAGAATCTGCAATTTAATAAACTCTCCTGGTGGTTCCAAGGTCCACTATTGTTTGTGTAGCATGGCCTTGAAGGCGAACTAGTTATATGCAAGTCCTCTGTAAAATCTTGGACTTTTTTTTTTTTTTTTGGATAAACCATTTACTTTCAAGTATTTATTATTTTACTGGAAACTTTGGTATTTTAATTTTGAAATTATTGGAATTGTAATAGCTACTTTGAATGCATATTTATTAAGCACTTAATTGCCATGGTGTTGTGCCAAGTAATGTACTCAGCCAGTTTATAAGATTAAATAGATTAAAGCTCACTAAGGAGTCCCTGTTTATAAAATTATCTCGAGTCATTGATACCCTTAGGTAGTTTGACTTCTATTCCATTTTGTAATGTTTATTAACTGTTTTTTTGAGGGAGCAGAAGAAAATCATTTAATAGGGCTTTGCTATATTAAATTATAGTTTGTGCTTGTCAGCATATTAATTATATAAGTAGAATGAAGAGCCAGGTGGTGGTTTTGCTATTACACTTATAATCCTTATATATTTAATATAATTAATTGAAGTTGAAGAGAACAAAACCCACTTATATTTTTTGCTATTATTCACAATCATGTTCTTTGAAGATGATGCCATAAGAATATTATCTGCCTGTCAACTTTCAGAACTCTTTTTTCATTGGCAGTAATAAATTTGGTAAAGCTAACCATCCCAACATATCTTTTATTTAATCTAGAGCTTTTACACAATGATTGCCTCCACTTTGAGGGGACAGTTTTTGCCTATGGACCAGCACTTTTTCTAAAGTAGCTATATTCTTAAATCCGTAGTCTTAATTTCAGTAGTGTTTGTACTCTGATTTTCCGAGGTAACTGTTTTTTGCAGAGATTTTACATGGAAACCCATGGATGTGTTTTAGGACAAACATGCTTTAAAACACTGGAGAATTGAGGATGTCTATGTAAGTGTGTTTCTAAAGTGAGGTTTTCATAGCATTTAGTGCACAAGCCTTCCTTTTTTTTTTTTTTTTTTTTTTAAGATTTTATTTATTCTTGGAAGACACAGAGAGGCAGCAACATAGGCAGAGGGAGAAGAAGGCTTCCTGCAGGGAGCCCGATGTGGGACTCGATCCCAGGATCCCAGGATCATGACCTGAGCTAAAGGCAGATGCTCAACCACTGAGCCACCCAGGCATTCCAGTGCACAAGCCTTCCATGGGCATCTTGGGCCTGCACCTTTAGGCCTGAACTCTTTTTGAGACCTGTGTTTCTCTAAGGTTGGCTGCCACCTACACCCCGGTATCTGAATGTGCTGTGGGTACCTTAGAATGATATGTCAAGCACCATCAACTTTATTTGCAAATTTAATTTTTCTTCTCTTTCCCATTTTTATCTTAATGGTTCCACTATCTTCCCAGTCATACTGGTACTCCATCAGAAGGCAAGTTAACTGTTTTATGTCAGGAGCATTTGCTAATTCACAGTAACCCTAAGTGATCTCTTTCTTTCCCTTTTTTAGTTCTGTTCACAAAAGGAAGCCTCTGCCCAAAACCGTATATAACTTGCTCTCGGATCGTGATTTAAAGAAAAAGCTAAAAGAGCATGGATTATCTATTCAAGGAAATAAACAACAGCTCATTAAAAGGCATCAAGAATTTGTACACATGTACAATGCCCAGTGTGATGCTTTGCATCCTAAGTCAGGTAAGCTAATAAAGCAATGATTTCTTCTTGTTTTCTGGTTAAAGCAGTTTTGTATAGCTCAGGGATTATAAATCATAGAAAAAAATTTAATGAATACAATTTTGATAATAGATGAGACATGTAAATATTTTCCTTCAAAGGTACCTAGAATATACTCTGATAAGCCTTTCTCCCAGCCGGTCTGTCAGCCACTATTCCTTTCTCAGAGGCAACCACTGCTGCTGGTTTCTTTTGAATATCTTTCCAGAGATAGTGTGGAATGAAGAGTTGATCTAGAGAGCATGGGTTATAATCCCAGTTCTGCAGCTTTATGACCAGGGATTTCAGGCAAGTTACTTCTCTCAGTTTTCTCATCCATAAAATAAGTGTTATAATACTATGGATTGCTACTAAAATACTTAGTAGTATTTTAGTTTATTATTAACTAATAATATAGTTAAAATACTATAGTATTTTTGAAACGAATAAATGAAAAGTGCATAGCACCATACTTTAGCAAATAGTTAGCATTTAGTAAGTTATTATGATTGTTAATTATACACAAATATATGTCTGGGATTGTTTGGTAAAAATTTAGTTTATAGGGGATCCCTGAGTGGCTCAGTGGTTTGGCACCTGCCTTCAGCCCAGGGCGTGATCCTGGAGTCCCGTGATCAGATCCCACATCGGGCTCCCTGCATGGAACCTGCTTCTCCCTCTGCCTGTGTCTCTGCTTCTCTCTGTGTCTCTCATAAATAAATCTTAAAAAAAAAAAAATTAGTATTATATACACACTATTTATTTAATGGTTTGTCCTTTTTATTTAACCACACGTATTTTGGAGTTCTTTGAATTATTAGCATATATAGAATTGCCTGATTTTTTAAAAAAACGAAACATAATATACAAACAGAAAAGTATACAATTTGTATTGTTTGGTGAATTATCACAGGAAATTTCACAAACAGAAAATACCTTTGTGACTATCTTTTAGATCAGAACCAGCATCCCAAAAGCCCCTGTGCTCCCTAACTCCAGTCACTCCCACCTTCATTCTCACAGATGACCACCATCTTGACTTCTGACACCAAGGATTATTCATTTTGTCTGTTTTTGCGATGATAAATTCCCTGCAGAGTAAGTGAGCTGAAATGACGTGGGCATTGTGATGTAGTGTTAGGCTGCTTGCTCTTGATCTTCTTTTTTTATAATTTTTTTAATTTTTATTTATTTATGATAGGCACACAGTGAGAGAGAGAGGCAGAGACATAGGCAGAGGGTGAAGCAGGCTCCATGCACCGGGAGCCCGACGTGGGACTCGCCAAACCGCTGCGCCACCCAGGGATCCCTCTTGATCTTCTTTTGACAATTTGTCAGAGGAAGATCATCTGCTTCCCAACTGTGGTTATTTGGGAATTACCAAGGCTGTGGAGGCAGGGTCACAGCTAAGGGGGGACCTCCTGTATTTCCATTCCCCAGGTCAGTTAGGCTTCAGTAATACCCCAGGTGATGAGGCTCTGTTTAACTAGTTTCCTGTGAGTGCAAGCCTTGTTAAGAGGAAAGTGCCCTGGTATATTTGAAAATGGTTCCTTTTCCTCTCTCCTTGCTTGAAGCCATAGATTTTTCTTCGATATTTACTGTAAGAACCTTGTTGAACTCCTGAAGGTGAATCTCGCAGTCTTGTCTCCTCTACCATCCTCCAACCACAACTGGGTCTCCCTGGGTTTTTTTTTTTCCACTCTTCGAGGTGTCTGCACAGGACTTCCAACAATTAATTAATTACAGTTTAGGTTTTCCCATCTTTTGTACTGTTCCCTGCTGTAGTTTCTGCTTGTAAGTTTCTGCTAAGGTAAGCCATTATTCTCTGTGTTTGTGGGTCTCCACATTCTTGGGGGCATTAGTTTGCCCTATGTCCTCCCCTCTAGTGTGGATCTAAGAAGAATTGCTGAATTTTTAATCTGTTCAGCTTTTAATTTGTTAGGATGGAATGGGAACTTTCAAGCTCCTTCCATGAAGAACTGGAAGTCCATTTCATTTAAATGAACTCATACAAATCTGTGGCCTTCAATGATGAACTTCTTTGATTTAGCAGAATATTTTCAAGGTTATCCATTATCCATTGTTAGCACTACATTCCTTTTTATTGCCAAATATTTCATTGTGTGAATATGTTACTTATATTGCCTATTCAGTCTGGGATTTTCTCTCTTTTGGCTATTGTGAATAATGCCACTATGAATATCCACACACAGATTTTTGTGTGAAATTGCTGGGTTAAATGATAACTGCGTTGTAACATTTTGAGGAACTGCTGGACTGTTTTCCAATGTACTTATAACATTTTACATCTCACCAGCATGAGGGTTCTAGTTTCTCCACATTCTTGTCCTACTTGGTATTCTGTCTTCTGTTTTGGTCATCTTAGTAGTGTGAAATGGTGTGTCATTGTGGTTTTGGTTTGTATTACACTGATTTTTGAATATTAAAGCAATCATTTATCTTTAGCAAGGACTCTTTGCATTTCATCTAAGTTCTTGAATTTACAATTTACTATTCTTTACTAATTTCTTTTTTTTTTCTTAAAGAATATTCTCTAATTTTCTTGTCTGTGGGATCTGTGGTGATGAACTATCTTTCATTTTTGATATTAGAAGTGTGTCTTCTCTCTTTCTTCGCTTCATTGGTTTATCTACAAGTTATCCATTTTATTTATTTTTTCCAAAGAACTAGCTTTCCCTTTCATTGATTTTTTTTCCCCTCAACTTACTGCCTATTTTTTTTTTATTGAATTCTACTCTTATTCTTTTTATTTCCTTCTTCCTGTTTACTTTAGTTTAATTTGATCTTTTTGTAGCTTATTGTGGTGGAAGCCTAGGTAATTATTCGGATTGTTCATTTTTTAATGTAAGTATTTAAAGCTACAGATTTTCCTGTGGGCACTGTTTTACCTGCATCCACAAATGTTGATATGTTTTATTTTCATTTAGTTAGAATATTTTCTCATCCTTGTAGTCATTTCTGCTTTGACTAATGGGTTAGAGAGAAGTGTTTTCAGTTTCCAAATATATGGACATTTCCCATATTTTTTTTTGTTATTTATTTTTAATTTGATTCCATTGAACCAGTTTCATATCATTTCAGACCTTTTACAACTCAGAGACCTGTTTTATAACTCAGCATTAGGTCTTCCTGGTCAGTGTTCCATAAGCACTTGAGTATTTTGCTTTTTCTTTTGGCTTAATCATCTCTAAATGTTATGTAAAGTTGCTTGATAGTATATCAAGTCATCTGTATCCTTATCCTATATTGATGGATTCTGTCAACTGCTGAAAGGATTATTAAAATCTCCAACTATATTTTTCCGTTTTTCCTTTCAATATTTTCAGTTTTCCTTATATATTGAATCTCAATAATTAGGTATATGTGTATTTAGTATTGTTCTGTCTTCTTGATGAATTAACCTATTTACTATAATAAAATCATCATCTTTGTCACTGTCTTTGGTAATATTCCTCATTTCAAAATCTTTGATATGAATGAATATAGCCACTCTTCTTTAAATCCATTGTGTTATTTAAACATTTTTAAAAGCAGTATATGGTTTGGATTTGCTTTTAAAGTATAATTTGATGAGATACACCATTAAGTTTTAAAACTTAAACCATTTTCATCTCATCAAATCTTATTTGGTTGGGTTTAAGTCTATCATCTAGTTTTCGTTTTCTTTTTGTGCTGTTCATTCTTTGTTTTGTCTTCCTTTTTTTGCTTTTGGATTTGGGGTTTTTTTGGTTTTCTATTTTATCTTCACTATCTAGTTATAGGTGTGTTTCTGTTTACTTTCTTTAAATGATTATTCTAAAGTTTACCATGTGTATCTTAAACTTATCAGAGTCTACCTTCAAATAATATTATTACTACTTCATGTATAACAAGTAATTTATGACTTCCATCCTATATTTCATTACTGTCATAGATTTTTCAATATATGTTATGATCCCTATAATACCTTTTACTCTTTTTTGCTTTAAATTGTCAGTTTTCTTCGGGTGCTTGAGTAGCTCAGTCGGTTAAGCATCTGATTCTTGATTTTGACTCAGATCATGATCTCAGGATTATGAGGTTGAGCCCTATGTCACACTCTGCAGTGGACGTGGAGCCTGCTTAAGGATCTCTCTCTCACTCTCCCTCTCCCTCTACCCCACCCATCCCGCTCCACCCCAAAAAAGATAAATTGTCAATTTTCTTTTATAAAAAAAAAATAAAAAATGAAAAAGAAGGTCTGTATGTGCTTACACATTACTATTTCTAATATTTTTCATCTCTTCCCTTACATCCAGGTTTCCATCTGATGCCATTTTCTTTTGGCCTGAAAAACTTTATTTAATATGTCTTGAAAGGAGTGCAGATGTGCTGTTTACAAGTTCTCTCAACTTTTATTTGTGTGAAGAAGTCTTAATTTTGTATTCTTTTTAACTATTTGGAAATACTTCTGAACTTTCAGGAAAGTTGAAACACTGTCAAAGAAAACCACATCAATACCACTTACATGGATTCACCTATTAGCATTTTGCCTTATTTGCTTTATGAATTACTATTACTCTCTGTATATGAGTACATGTATGTACATATTTATAAGCATCTATTCTTTTCTGAAACCATCTGAGAATAAATTGTATAATCTTGATTATTTTACCCCTAAATAGTTAATGTATTTCCTAAGAAAAAGGATGTTCTCTTTTTTTTTTTGCCAAATTATAGTTATCAATTTCAGTGAATTTAACTTTGTTACAATACTTTTATCCATTCTGTCATCTGTGTTCCATTTTCAGCAGTGGACCCAGTAATGATTGTTATGGATTTTTTTTTCCTTCTAGTACAAGATCCAGTTTTGAATCACATATTTCATTTAGTTATAATATCTTTTCCATCTCTTTCTACTTGGAACAGTTCCTCAGTCTGTGTATTTATGATGTTGGTAAAGAATACAGTCTTTGTTTTTTTTAATCCCTCCCTAAACAGAA